CAACAATGTTCAGTACAGTGAGAATAAACACAGACACACACTTAACAGCTAACTTTCAGGAGACTTCCCATTGACGTAAAGATTTTTTTACTGTACAAACTATATTTTTACCCTCGAAGGAAACACTCTGCATTTTTACTTTTTCAAAATACTTCCTGATGGGGACCAAAAATGTCCCCACAAGGTCAAAATTGACTGCTATTCCTATACTTGTGGGGACATTTGGTCATGAAGAATACAAGAAACACACATTCTCTCTCACAGAGCTATCTTTTTGGGGACTTCCCATTAATGTAAAGATTTCAATACTGTACAAACTCTATAATTTTAACCAAACCCTCAAAGGAAATTTTCTGCATTTAAACTTTTTCCAAAATACTTCCTAATGGAGACTAGAAAATGTCCCCACAAGGTCAAAATTTACTGCTATTCCTATACTTGTGGGAACATTTGGTCATAAAGAATACAAGAAACACACACATTCTCTCTGTCTTTCTCTCACACACACACACCCACACACACAAACACACATACACAAGCACACACACTTAACAGCTACCTTTTAGAAGACTTCCCAATAACGTAAGGTTTTTTTATACTGTACAAACTCTTTATTTTTAACCAAACCCTTAAATGAAACTTTCTGCATTTTAACTTGTTCTAATTACTTCCAAATTGGGACCAAACAAATGTCCCCATAAGGTCATAAATTACTGTCATTCCTATACTTGTGGGGACATTTGGTCATAAAGAAGACAAGTACCACACATTCTCTCTCTCAAATACACACACACACTTTACAGCTATCTTTTTGGGGACTTCCTATTAACGTAAGGATTTCTATACTGTACAAACTCTGTATTTTTAACCAAACCCTCAAAGGAAACATTCTGCATATAAACTTTTTCTAAAAACCTTCCTAATGGAGACCAAAAAAATGTCACCACAAGGTCAAAATGTACTGCTATTGCTATACTTGTGGGGACATTTGGTCATAAAGACGACAAGAAACACACACATTCTCTTTGTCTTTCTCACACACACAGAAAAACACACTTTGCATCTATATTTTGAGTACTTCCCATTAACTGTAGATTTGTATACTGTACAAACTGTTTATTCTTACCCTCAAAGGAAACATTCTGCATTTTAACTTGTTCAAAATACTTCCTAATAAGGACCAAAAAATGTCCCCACAAGGTCAAAAATGACTGTTATTCCTATACTTGCGGGGACATTTGGTCATAAAGAATACAAGAATCGCACATTTCTCTCTCTCTCTCTCTCTCTCTCTCTTTCACACACACACAAACACACACACGCACACGCACGCACACACACTCACACACACAGTTCCAAGAGCTTCAGATATAATGACTAAAAAATACAGATTCAAATTTAGATATATAAGAGCAGTTATGAGTTGTCCTGTCTGAAAAGGGTATTTTCAATCTAAATTTGGACAAACACAACACTCTAAACACAGTAGAAGAAGAAATGGTGCTAAATAGCAATGCAATTGCATGGTTCTTTGGTTCATAATCATAGGGGGAACCACTTGAAATGCTATGTAGGACCTATATCTTTGAACATGGTGAGGAACCATTACGGATACTATATTCTGTATAGCACTTAATTAGTGTTGAACTGCTGAAGAACTTTTTTTTTGTGAATGCTTGGGTTAAATCTTTAAATAAAAGTTGGGTCTATATTTTATCTAAACGTGTATTATACACGTATAAAATTCTTGCTCCCTTAATTTTATTAGTTGAATCAAACAGATTTGTCTTTTCAGCTCAACTTACATCAATCAAGACTAAAATAATAAGTTAAAGAGACAGTTCACCCCAAAACTGAAAACTCTGTCATCATTTTCTAACACTTCTTTTCTTCCAAACCTGTTTGACTTTATTCTACTTCTACTTTGAAAAAAGCTGAAAATCTGTAACCATTGACTTCCATGGAATCTGTTTTTTCTATGGACGTCAATGGTTACAGGTTTTCAGCTGTTTTCCAAAATATCTTCCTTTGTGCTCATGTTTGGAACTGTTCCTTAAATTGTCCTTTCAATGTCAAGACTTTTTGCCATATAATTTTTTTACAGTGTAATTATTTTACTAATAAATACACAAAGTAAACACAAAGCAACTTAAATAGACAGTTCACCCAAAATGACAGTTCTGTCCTCATTTACTCACGCTTTACTTCTTACAAACCAGTTTGATTAGCTAAATTGGCTTTAGTGTGAGTGTGAATGAGTGTATTTCCCAGTGAAGGGTTGTGGCTGGGTAAGTTGGTGGTTCATTCCGCTGCGGCGACCGCTGATTAATAACAGGACTAAGCCGAAAAGAAAATGAATGAATGAATATAAAGAAATCTAATGTTGCCTAATATAAATAAAAATGTGTGGAAAAAAATCCATTCAGATAATACACATAATAATTACAAAGCAATAACTAATACGTGTAATTATACACACGCGCACAAAATAATTCTAGTAGTAATACTCCAAATAATTTTCTTTAGATTTTCTCTTGAATATTTTTATTTTCCAATTGAGAACTTACTAATACAAGATGCAAAAATGACATTTTTTTATTTGCCGTTTTCTTTTTTCCACCCAACAAATGTGGTTTCTCGTGATTGGCTTTAATTGTCATGCATCATGTAATTGGCGGATATTAAAGCTGCTCTCTGTGCATTTCTGAGCAGATATTTGATGTTCGCTCGAAAACCAACAAGCAAACAATTAAAGTCCCCCCTCACTGCGTGTCTCTCTCGGTCGGTGCGTTTTGTCGGTGCTCGATGGTCCGTGTTAACGCGCTTATTATGAGAACAGGTTCCTCACGGGATTTCTGCACATATACGTGTGGGAAAGAATGTAGAGAGAGAGAGAGAGAGAGAGAGAGAGAGAGAGAGAGAGAGAGAGAGAGAGAGAGAGAGAGAGAGAAAGAGAGAGAGAGAGAGAGAGAGAGTATTGAATAATATATTGAATAATAATATATTGAATAATAATATGTTCATTATTTATATTTTTAATCATTATTATTATTATTACTACTGTGCATTTTATTATATATGCATTTTTTTCTTTTTTATGTAAACTTTAGAACTTGTAAAGCAATTATAATTGAATTGAATTGAATTGAATTGAGAGAGAGAGAGAGAGAGAGAGAGAGAGAGAGAGATCTGTTCAACATACACGTACGCGCGCATTTCTGTATCATGATGACCTCTGAACTCTGTTTACCTCATTGATATTATTTAATATTTTTATTTAAATATGACGTTCAATTTATGCTTGAGAAATATAATTTAAATTAAAAATTTTGATTTTCAAGGGGAAAAATCCAAAGCCTAAAGTGAATAAAACACAGTATTTTTCCTTGATTATGCTATTTATCCAATGTTTCTTCATCTAAAATATGAAAGAATTTAAATAAATAAATAAATCCCTGGTTCATTCCGCTGTGGCGACCCCAGATTAATAAAGGGACTAAGCAGAAAACGAACGAATGAATGATAAATAAATTACTAGGTTGATATTTCATACTATATCATTTAACTGTTGCATTTTTTCATCAATCAGACAGCAGGATGACATCAAACTTCTACCTCTATTAAAACAATAGCACACAAATACACATAAATGCTTCAAATGTATTATAAAATCAAGCGAGTCTCTAAATCTGATAAACTATATAATCGTGATGACCTGAAAGCTGAATTGATCCTGCGCGTGGTTTTTAATTAACTTTCCCCGCTGCCTGTAGCCTAATGATCGAACATTAGTATCAAACAAATAAAAATCGCGTGATTAAAGCTCACCTCTTTATTAAATCTGAAAGTCAAATTAAACACGGAGTGTGCACGTGGGCCGCATGTTGATGCGTTTTAATCTGGTTGAGCGCGTGCATGTGACACAGCAACCAACAGATTTTTTTATATGCATATTATTTGTTTTGTTCATATTTATAAATACAGCAGTGTCAAAACACAACATTTAGGATTTAAAATCTAATAAAGAGCTCGAAAATATTAGATAATGCTATGAAATGTAAAGGCTAAAGTATATAGGCTTATGTTTATAATTATATATATATATATATATATATATATATATATATATATATATATATATTCTAGTATATTATATATTTTCTTTTTAAAATATTATATCTTTCTAGACCAATATAATCAATGGAATAAAATATTTTTGTGTGCGCGCGCAGGAGGAATGCTTTATAAATGCTGCTCTAATCATACACTCAAATTGCTTAAAGGCATATAAAAAATGTCTTAAAGTCTTTTTTGCACCCCATTATATAAGTAAAAAATACTGCAATTTATTCTCTACAAATTTGCACTAAATTAAGTGTTTCTCATGACCAAGAGTGGCCTAAATGAGATCAGAAACAGCAGCACAGGACTGTGCGTGGATGAAGCGCGCATGAATCTCTATTGTGAATGAGATGAAAGAGGACAGAGCTCGTGGATGAAGTTCATCTGCTGTTGTTTGTAAAGCTCCTGCTCCTCCACGTGCAACACCCACTTCCGCCCTCCATCCACGCCCTCACCAACCCGGTGTAAAAAATCTCTTACGCATAAATAATACAGATTTTAATATTTAGATCATTTAAATGTATATATTATTGTTAAATGTTGCACTGTGCAAAAATAAACATTCACATGCATCTCATTAGAATAAAATATTAGTCACCCTTACATGGGTTACCCTAACAATTAAAAAAAAAAGGTCTAGTAAAGATTGACTCCCCCGCCCGTCCCTCCTCCCACTTGTAAACAATTACCAGTGCAACACGTCATCGAGATGACATCATCGCCGAACGCGCATTCCCTAAGATTTCAGCTGATCTGATTGGTCGCACTGGCTCTGGTGGATCTTCAAAGCCGGAGCCGAAAGCATTTGTGCTGCGGTGGGCGGTAAAAGTCTCCAAAACAGCCGAGGGACTTATAAATGTAAAGACCTTTCGCAGGTGATGGCAACTTCACTTCTTGGGGTGAGTACGGATGCATCTCTATGCGTTAAGCTGGCTGGGACATACTTCGTGTGTCTGTTGGAGATTTTTTAAACTGAAATGAGACGAATTTAAGATGATTTAATCTGATGTTTATATTAATATACGCTAGTGATATGAATGACGGTGCGTAATCCGTGCGTAATGCTGACCTGTTAGGCTAGATTAAGGTCACATGAGCCTGCAGAATGTTTACAATTCTTAGGGCGTTGATTGGAAATAATGTTCGTAGAACATTTCTTTGAATACCTCAAGTTTAAATTATCCCTAACTAAAAAAGGAGATTAAACAATCGATATCGGCTAATTTTATTATAGATTTGCTGGGTCATACATAAGGTTTACGTGTATTTAAACAGAGTTAAATGTTGTCCAAAAGGATCAGACTGTAAAACTGGTTCTAACTGGAACTTTCTGTTTTTATGAGCAGTGTTGCCGATGGCAGAACAGAGTCGGAAAAGTTTAATGCAAGGATAAAATCACAGCGGGTTGAGTTTAAACAACATAAACTTTTGCTTTGGTAAAAAAGCCAATTAAACGCAACAAAAAAAAAATCCATCAAGTTTCACTGCTGTATTTTCATGAACTAATGATTTCCTTGAAAAAAATATCTTTGAAAGAATACTAATCAAATTGTGCGCGTTTTCATAAATTGCTTATAATTTGCAATACGCCAAACTCCTTTTCTTTCTTGTTAACACTGGGTTTTTGTATGCGCACAGGAGGAACCAAGGGTTGGATCCACTCCATTGGCCATGTTAGCAGCAACCTGTAACAAAATAGGGAGTTCGAGTCCCCCCTCGGACAGCGGCTCGTTTGGGAAAGGCGGCTTTCACCCTTGGAAACGCGCAGCGCCCAGCAGCTGCTCTCTCTCCCCGTTCGGCGCGCAGAGGAACGACTCTTTCAGCGCCAACAGCTCGTTCTCCTTAACGGGCACCACCACCTCCACCAGCCCGTTTGGAAACGACTATCCGGTGTTTCAAACTTCAGTCGCCAACAGTTCTCAGGACCCGAGCGCGCAGTCCGTGTTCATCTCGAAAGTGGACTCTCTCCAGGGGATTTACCCGAGGATGAGCGTCGCGCACCCGTACGAGACGTGGTTCAAATCCGCGCATGCTGGCATCTCCTCCGGGGATGGGAGCGGATCCTCCTGGTGGGATGTTGGCACAGGTTGGATTGATGTTCAAAGCGCGAATGGTGCCGCGCTTCAGACCTCTTTGCATTCGCCCCTGAGCGGCTATAACTCAGACTATCCCTCCCTCACTCACTCCGCGTTCAGTGCCAGCCCGTCTCCACATCTCCTAAGCAGTGGGCAGCACCTGATGGACGGGTTCAAACCAGTTCTCTCCGCCACCTACACAGACAGCAGCACTGGTGCCAACAGCGCGGTTTTAGGAGGGTCTCCTGTGGTGCCGTTGGCCGGGTCTCCGCGTTCCTCCACCAGGCGCTACTCGGGCAGAGCGACCTGTGACTGTCCGAACTGTCAGGAGGCGGAGAGACTGGGGCCTGCGGGGGCCAGTCTACGCAGAAAGGGGCTCCACAGCTGCCACATCCCGGGCTGCGGGAAAGTATACGGAAAGACCTCTCACCTCAAAGCGCATTTGCGCTGGCACACCGGCGAGAGGCCGTTCGTGTGTAACTGGCTCTTCTGTGGGAAGCGCTTCACCAGATCCGACGAGCTCCAGCGACATTTACGCACACACACCGGGGAAAAGAGATTCTCCTGTCCAGTGTGTAACAAGCGCTTCATGCGCAGTGATCATCTCAGTAAACACGTAAAAACGCACAGCGCCGGGGAACCCGGGTCTAACGGGCTTAAAAAGAGCAGCGATACCGACAGCGAACAGAGTGTACCGGGCAGCCCAGCCTGCCAATCCCCGGAAATGATCCACAACACAGAACCCGTCCAGAACGGACTCTGAAAAGAACTAAATGCATGCGTGCATTCTTAAAGATAAAGGTTCAAATGAGAAGCAAAACATAAATATAACTGCATTCTCAAATTATTGGAAAACTTGCATAGTGCGTACAAATCTGAAGAACCGAAAAACACAGCATAAAGCGTTTAATCTCCAAAGAGCCGCACATTCTTAAAAATAAAGCTTCTAAAAAAAGAGTTGTTTCTTCTGAGCGATGCAATAAATCTTTTAAAAAGTTCCTAAATTAATAATACAACTCTAAAGGACACTTTTCCACTACAAAGCACTTTTTTGTGGAATGGAAACTGGTCTCAAACAAGTTCCCAATTGAGCCACAGGTGCCAATAAACCTTTCCTTTTGGAAAAGAGCAACTCTTATTCTTGTTAAGAAGTTCAGATTTTGTGTGCGTTCAAGAGGCTGCGATGTTCATTGACGAGCCTTTATGTTTAAGAATGTTCAGTGCGCATTTAAAGGCCAGTGGATTTATCAGAATAGACGCAAATGTTCAAAAATGTTTAATGATAATTGTCTGTAAATCAGCAGAAGGTCTCTCTCAGGTGTTCTTGGATATTTAAACCACTCCTTCATGAATAAAGTGATCAAATAACCTCGCAATGGAGGTAAAGATGAAACAAACTGCTGAACTTATTTGCGCTGCATTTCCAGATTCCCCATTCACTCCTGTCTCTTGAGGCACTTTATTACTTCAGATAGGAAATCAAGGATTTTATTTCTTAGCAGCTGCACGTTTGTTTTTATTAAACGGTTTTATTTTGTGCAACTTGATTTTGAAATGCAAAGTCTCTAATCGAGTGAATCTACGAAAACTCACGCATCATCTGGAGGTTAAAAGCGCGCTTTTGTACATTAGTCTTAATTTCATCGTGCAGTTGTTATCTAGTGAATCTCAACCCTTCTCAATGCAAAGTGAGATTGTACATAGGATTGTCTTGAAACTCTATTTATCATCGAGTTTGATTTGTGCTTTGAAGTCTATCAGAGTCGCACTTTGAATCTATATTTATAATTTCGGGATCGAATCAGCTCGATCATCTTTTGTTTATCGTTTGTTTTATTATTATTATTTAAATCAGCATGTGTGTTTGTATTTACTGACCGTTTACTTTGAGATAATAAAGTCACATTTGACTTGGACTGTTTTTATGTGTTCTGTGGGTTGGTGACAGTTTTGTTTGCGAAATATTTAAGTTTATTTCAGCCTATAAACTCCGAAGGGAACTGGCGGTATACAAAACAAAACAATTACAGTGTCAATTATTATTATTATTATATTATTATTATTGTTATTATTATTATTAGGCCTATTATTATTATTATTATTATTATTATATATTTTTTAATAGGCAAAATAATTAAATTAAATGTTATTAATGTTATTTTTTGTTTGGTTTTGATATATTCATTCGCGTGTGACTGAAATGCATTGTCTAAAATATAGTCACAAATTAAACTGAGAAATATTGTAAACGACTCTTTTTTGATTGGCAATAGAAAAAGTATAAACCTATATACAGCACATTAGCTAAACGACTTTAAAGCAGATTTATTTTGACTGAACTCAATCTGCCCCAACTAAAGTAATAGCTTACACAAAACTCTTAAGTAAAATCACGCAAATAAAAAATAAAACATGTTGTGCCTGGTTCAAAATCATTTGTTTGTGACCTGATGACATTCATTCATATTGTCGGCGTAGTCCTTTATTAATCCTGGGGTCGCCACAGCGGATTGAACCGCCAACTTATCCAGCAAGTTTTTACGCAGCGGATGCCCTGACCTGATGACATTTTAGGCTAATTATTTCATCACCGTTTAAGTATTTAGCTCCTCTTAGTGGCCAATGACCGAACAGCAGCTCAAAAGGCCCATCAATTATTTTGATCACAAGTGCTGACGTGAAATAATATTATCCACGTATCCACCATATTTTGTAAAACACTACATTGTAAAAATGCTGAATTCCACACAATTTATTTATGCTGCTCCAACACAAATCAATTTAGTTCATGCAACAAATTTAAGTGGATTGAACATAAAACAAAAAGTGCCAAAAAAACTCAATAATTATGTTGTTTTAGTTCATTTTAAATAAGTAATTTGAAGAAGCAGCAAACATGTTTTGTGTGTAGGCTAGTTAACACTGTAAAAAGTGATTAAAGTGAGTAAACCAATTGCGTTAAAAGCAAACAAGTTGGCTTGTTTGTAAACCGATTGTAACTTGGAAATGTTGAGCTGACTTAATTTTTATGATTATGCTAATTGTACTCACTTTTTAAAAATAAAACTCATCACTTTTTTCCCAATACACCTTTATTTTACAGTATATACAACTTTATACAGTATATATATTCTAACCCCCCCCACCCATCTCAGCTTTTTATTTATTTAGCTAATTGACATATAGTAAAATAAATCTGCTCTTCCACACTCCAGTGTGTCTTCTAAATTAATTGTTGATTTTTCTAATGAAGCACCAAATATGTAATATTGTGATAATTACAGTACTTATTTGAAAACAGACGTGCTAAATAGTCTCACACTGTAAAAAGGGATTCGTTGACTTTAAAAAATTGAGTACAATTTGCATAACTAAAATTAAGTCAGCTTAACAAATCCAAGTCACAATGGGTTTACTTACATTATTTTTGTGCAGTCAATGTGTTGCTTTTAAGGCAATTGGTTTACTTGCTTTAAATAACTAATCCGTTTCTACAGTGTAAAAGATCAAGAAGACATAGAGGAAAACTATAATAATAATGTAATAGGCTATACTGAAATATACAAATATTTTAATGAAATAACTCAGCCGTTTGCATTTAAAGCAGCTGAATGGACACACATGTACATTTAAAATTGCAAAGGCTAAGTGAGAAAAGCAGTATTTATCTGTTATATGATAAATGAGTCTGCTTAATTGTGTGACTTTAATACCCGTGTATAAGCAAACTTCAGAAAGTCTTACTCATTTCATTTAAAAATGGTGCCCACTTTTCCAGAAACTTGACCGAATGACGAATGATTTACCTTTATCAAGCCCTTAGCCAGCCTGGTGAAAGTGGTGGTTCTTTCATCTCATTCTATTAAATTATGAAATTAAATACTGAATTTTTGTGATATTTTAAGCACTACTTTTAGCTGGATTAGATTGGATGGTCATCATAACCTGTTTTGATGTAGGTACCAAAAATATTTCCTAAATATTTAGAACAAAGGAACATGAATATATATATATATATATATATATATATATATTTTTTTTTTTTAAACTTATTACATCATTAAAACAAAGCTAAACTAGCCTATTGTTATGTATTAGGCAAATAATAAACTGGCCAGCACATTCAACTTTCCTGAGAATTTGGCCAGGATTCCGCTTGGTCCTAAAGCCTTTTCGATGGGTTATTTTCTTTTAGTTTTTAGTTAGTTTTAGTTTTTTTTGGTTAGTTTTAGTTTGACTTTATTAATCCCCGGAGGGAAATTCACATGTCACAGCAGAGCTCTCCATACTAAAAATAGATGAATAAGTTAGATACATATAAAAACAATAATAAAATTACATTTCATACTGCACACCTTGGTTCAAAAACACAGAGTAAACACTTGTACATATCTAATATCTAATTCAAGTTCAGCACAATTCATCTGGTATGACTGGTAGGACTGTATCAAAAAGGGGATGGCTATCGTGGTTCATTATACTAACAAATTTGTCCAGCATTCGATCCTGTGCAATCTCTTCTATGGTAGGTAGTGCACACCCCACAACAGAACCTGCTCTTTTTAGGAGCTTATTTAATTTGTTTTTCTCCTTCTCCAACAGTCCCCCTCCCCAGCAGGTTACAGCATACAGAATCACAGAAGACACCACAGAGTCATAAACAGTTTTTAACAGTGTCTCTGACACACACCAAGGGACCTCAGTCGTCTTAATAAATGAATGCGGCTCTGACCCTTCTTATACACCTGGATTGTGTTTTCAGACCAATCGAGCTTGTTGTTCAAATATACACCCAGGTACCTATATGACGAAACGATCTCAATTTCTGACTCGTGTATAATTACGGGCACCGCTTGTGATGGATGTCTACTAAAATCAACAATAATTTCTTTGGTCTTACTAGTGTTTAATTTAAGACAATTCATATCACACCAGTCAGCAAAACTTTTTAAAAGCAACCTATACTCACTCTCATCATGATTCCTTATATAACCTACGATTGCAGAGTCAAAAACTTCTGTAACTGACAATTTTCACAATTTATGATGGTATAGCAGTCAAAATAGAAGAAATCAGCTTACGAATGGGACAAATTTCGGACCTTTGTCAGTGAGGTGTGGGTCTCAGTGGCGCCCCCAGAACATTTTCTAAGGGGTGGCCAGAAAAGGCCACACTAAATCTTGGGGTGGCACACAAAAAAATAATGAATTCAGTGTAATGTTATATTTTTGCTTCTGGTAAATGAAATAATGTGGTTTTAATTCATTTAATTAATTACTCTTGAAATATGGCAATTTATTCCTTGAAATAATGAATGTGCAAACCAAATAAAATCGATATTTAGTTTAAAAACACTTTTCATATATATAAATAACTTTTCAGTTTTTTCACAGTATATACAGAATATGCCATGTCTAAAATTAATGAAGATTAATGAACTATTAAAACTTGTAAAATTGTACAAAAGGCATTGTAATATACACACACACTCACTCAGACCCTAATAATATCATTTATACTCCTTTTTGATCCACAATATTGTTAATACTGCTTCTTCTATTGATATACCTTAAGGTAAATATTAAATTGCCATTGCTGTCTGTTGTGCATGTTATCAACAACAATCGGGTTTGGGGGGGCAATGCTATGTCAGTGGCACAAATCAAACCACAATAATTTAGTACCTGCTGAAAAATCCAGCTTAAACCAGCCTCAGCTGGTTTCCAGCCATTTCCAGCCTGGTCTTAGCTGGTCAGGCTCAAAATGACCAGCTAAAACCAACTAAAACCAGCTTGACCAGCCTGGTTTAAGCTGGACACAGCTGGTTTTGGCTGGACTCCCAGCCTAGTTAGGCTGGTTTTAGCTGGTCATCTCCCAGCCTGACCAGCTAAGACCAGGCTGGAAATAGCTGGAAACCAGCCTGGAAATGGCCAAAACCCCTCTATAACCAGTCTGGTCAACCAGCTAAACCAGCTTATGTTTTTTTCAGCAGGGGTGGCTGCATTTTATTTATTCATTTATTTTAATATTTTATATGTACTTAAGTACATTTAAATTAATAATATCAACAGCAAAGTCATTGGGCCGGCCACATGGGTGGCCAGGGTTTACACAGGTAAACAGGTTTACACTTGAGGGCGCCCCTGGTGGGCCTGGGTCTTTTGAACCACTGTTTATAGACTACTTATACTGTTATATTAACATAACGTTAAATTATGACACAATTGACCGAAATACCGTGTTATGTTTTTATTGATTCATTTTCAACTGGCTACAACAATATCGGCTGGTGTGAGGGGAATTGTGTTTAATTAACCCAAAGTACATTCACAAACACAACCAGGCAAACATGACATGTGCAGTCACAATTTACACATGCTAACGTTGTATTGCTCTTACCAGAATCTGTTCACACTACAAAAAGGACTAGACAGCATTTATTTCTAACAAAACAGAGAAAACAACTACAAATAAATACGTTGAATGTTCTCCCGATGTAAACAACATGTTAAATCTGCATTTCATTAGCGCCACAGGAATGCTAATTTGACCGCGAGGGTTCGTACCATAATATTGGACCAAAAGCGGCCCTCAGTAGTTCACGACGACAGATATAAATACCGACCAGCAGGTAAATAATCAACACAAATCTGTACTTACTAGTGTAGGAAACAACTTCCTTCAATCTCCAGTTCTACCAGGGAATCATGTAGATATGCAGCTTCAATTGAGCTGGCAAAGTGCGGACAATAATTTAGATCTCTGCTTTACATATTAACACCTTCAATGAACCTGAATGCAATCTCAACACTCCATTAAATATTAAAAAAAGCTTCAAGAAATAAAACGAGCTACTTTGATCATTAGGAATGGTTGAGCGCGTGCTGAACACTAGGGGGCGGACTAATCCAAGTCAGCAGGATAGGGGTTTCCAAACTACTGTGTTCAGAATTGAATACTGGCTAACTGCTTGATGCATACTGACAATGGCACTTTAAGCATGCACTATGCAAATAACATTTAAATCCACACTGGTGTCACATGAGCTCACAAAACAATAGATAACGCATGCTATTTTTATGATATCACTCAACGCTTGCATGCTTTTCCATAATAGTAAAAGATGCAATAAACTGGTATGCAGTGATAAGCATTCAAAATAGCACTGCACCGCTTGGTCATCATTACAAAAAATAAATGTAGCATTTTTAATGCCCTAAAATGTAAAAAAAAAAAATTAAATGTAAGCTCGTAAAGTGAAAAGTAAATAAAAAAATACACAAAAAAGTGGAAAAAGTTGATCACCATACTAAATGCACACAAACAAAACTTAAAAATCATCTAAAAATAAAATATAAAGTATTTTAGCACCTTCGGTTATTGTTTTGTAGTAATGCCAAGGCCCACACGGAATCTGTGCGCGCAGAAATCCGCAGCTTTTTATCTCATTATTGAGTCTATGTATTACTTGTGTAAATGAATGTTTATTCAGTTTTTATATTAATTTCACAAATCTTATTGTGATATAATCATAATATTTAAATGTTCATTTGATTTATTTACAATACAGTTTGTAAAGTAATATTTTGGTCTTTTAGTAAATGTATATTAAATGAGAGACTTGCTTTGTTTACCAAATAGTTGGATCTAATTGGATTTGCATTGTACACATTAAATAAAAAATAATAATAATTATTATTATTTTATATATTAAGTTTGTAGTTATGATACTCCTAAAATCATTTAAATCCGCAGAAGTAGTAAAAAATGTCCGCAGATTCTGTCTGGCCCTAGTAATGCCTCAAGAAAGTGGCGTTAAACACGGATGCATCATGCTGGAAATGTTGAGTCCATCACAATGTGGAATGAGAAATGCTTTCTTTTGTATGTTGGGCATGCTTGCAAATGCACAGCAGAAATACACTGTAAAAATATTATTAGAAAAAAACAACCGTTATTTCTACACTACAAAAAATGTCCCGTTTTAGACTTGTTTTCCATTCTAAATATCTTAAAATCAACATACATTTAATTGAGAAGCAAAATGCAATGATATAAAACATTCGTTTCTTAAACAAATATATTAAAACAAGACAAATATCTTTTAATAGGGTCAGTAAAAATATTGTTTTCCTTTTTAACTATTGTACACTTGTATGTTTAAAGCATAAACGAATAAACAAAAGGTTAACATCCTAATTCATTTTGCTTCTCAGATGAACATATCTAAATTTGAGAATGTTTGAATGTATATTCTGGAAATCAATAAATAGGTGTACACTTAATTTTAAGATGTCCTTATTAGTTACACTCTTAAAATTAACTTAACTGTTGGGTAAATTGATCAACTACACTGTAAAAAGTGCTTTGTTGACTTAACTTTGAAAAAAGAGAGTAAAACCATTGCCTTAAATTATTAAGTAATTGATAATTAAAATAAAAAAAATTATTAAAATAAAAAATATTAAAATAAGTTATATTAACTTAACAGTTGCAACAGAATTACTTACATTTTTAAGTACAGCTAACTTGTCACTTTTAAGGCAATGGATCTACTCACTTGTACATGTATACTGTAAAAAGCAGAGATCTACACAATTCATTTATGCCAACACGTTTCATTAAGTTAACAAATTTTAGTAGTTTGAACATAAAACAATTAAGTTACCTCCCCAAAAGTCTAAAGAATTTTGTTGTTTCAGCTCATGTTAAATAAGTAATTTGAACAAGCAGAAGAATATACACATTGTTTAAGTGTGCTTACTATGTTTATGGTTAGGGTTAGATTTACCTGCATGTAATTAGCATAATTACTACAGTAATGTGCATATAACAAGGACACCTTAACATAAAGTGTTACCACAAATTGCACTAAGTACACTAAGTAGTTTGAATGTAGTGTATACTATATGATTCATTGGATTTACTACATTTTGAAAGCTAACTGGTTGCAAACAGGTTGCATGGTGGCTCACTGTTCGTCTCAAATCCCGGCTGGGCCAGTCAGCATTTCTGGGTTCTCTCCATGTTGGCGTGGGTTTCCTCTGGGTGCTCTGATTACCCCCACACACAGTCCAGACGCATGCGCTATAGGTGAATTGAATAAACTAAATTGGCTGTAGTGTTTGAGTGTGTGTGTGTGTGTGAGTTAGTGTGTATGGGTGTTTCCCAGTGTTGGGTGTGACTGGAATGGCATCCGTTAGGTCTAACACACCTGATTCAGATCATCAGCGCATTAGCAGAGACTGAAAGACCTGTAATGGGTGTGACAGACAAAGGAGACGTCCAAAACATGCAGTGTTGGTGGTCCTTCAGGATTGTGGTTGAGAAACACTGGTCTAATATATGCTGGAATAGTTGGTGGTTCATTCCACTGTGGCGTCCTCTAAAATATAGAGACTAACGAATAGTAATGAATGAATTTGTTTGTTCAAATTCAGCCCATATAAATAGTTTGCAACCAGCTAACCGCAAAAATAATGAGTGAATCTAATGAATCGTTCTTTTCAGTGTACAAGCAGTGTGCTAGTATGCTATTCTGAACACAGCCAGAGTCTGTAGTGTACTGATATCTAAAAAAAAAAAAAAAATAGAAAAAAAAATAGATGCTAACGAACAAACTATAAGCGTAAAAAACAGAGAGACGACTGGAGAAGCGCAGAAAATTGGCCCAGAAACCACACGAGTTTAACAGGAATCTTCATCTCCCTCTCTCTGCCGCTCTTAATGCCACTGAAGATAATAAATTAGACTTGAAAAGAAGCCTCAGTAAAGCCACTGAAGGTACCGCTGTGGTGAAGTAAGTGCTTTAGGATTGTGTTTTCTTTCAGGTAGTGTTTGTTGCACTACCAGGCGTCCCCGATGGGCATCTTGTGTGTAAGTGTGGGTGTGTGTGTGTGCATCTCCACCGGGTGATTGGGCAGACGGTCCCTCCTGTATGTTATGGTCTTCTCACTGCTCGTTGGGACGTAAGACGAGTCCTGCATTATGAAATTCAACAACAGACAGAGATCAGCGATAGCTCATGCATCTCATGGGATTTTTTAAAATGTAAACATTTATTTTATTAGGAAAACCTGCTGATATTAGTAATCTCTTTTCCTCTTTTCTAATCTGTTGCATCAATAGTGACAGTAAAGACATTCATTATGCGTAGAATAGACACATATTTATCGCGTGATAAGAGTCTCGCGTTAACGCTGCACAATAACGCCAAAAATGGCCCAACACTAGTTTAAATAAAACATCATCATTAATAACAATTAATTTAATTGACAAATTAAATTTGTACCACTGTATTTGAGGTTACGAAACATATTAAAGATGCTGTTATTAAATTGACGCTGCAGTTATGATGATCTCACGGCACTCATGTTTATGACGGATTTATGACAAGTTATATTGTCTTGATAATTTCGAGTTGAAAAGCATGCTATGATGTATTTATGTAACAAACACATCACAAACAATGCCATCATTGCATTGAAAATGACATAGGGCAGTACAGGGGTACACACACCTTGTGTGTGTGCTCGAACTGCGGCTCAGTCTTGGAGATGCAGGAGCGGCCTGTAACTCTCAGCAGCTGCCGGACGCCGGCCAACATCCCGATGCCCAGTGTGACGGTCAGCAGGAAGACGCTGAGAAAGGTCTTAAAGTACCGCCGGCTCCAAACACACACTGTTTAACACAGAAAACAAACCATGAAGCAGAGAAAAGCCTTCAGTTTTGACACAGTCACACACTTATCCACAGGAAAAAAAACATTTCTGGAAGGCTTTAATGCTGATGATACACCAGGCACCTTTTATTATTGCCTTTAAGCTCACACTGCAGAATTAGAACATGCATAATGCTTGATAGTGGTATATGTGATTTAAAATGTCATGTTTAGTGTGATGTGTATTGGCTATAAGTGAAAGTGGTCTCTCTAAATGAGCTGGTTACTGTCTGAGGAAAACAACGGACATATTAAAGTGATCTCAGCAGTGTTTCCTTGCTCCTGTGGGATGTTTAGCTCTCTTGACTGAGCACATTCTCTCATAAAATCACTCACTCAAATGACGTTTCGGACACCCCCCACTACTGCCTGGAGAACAGCATGAGCCATTGTGTGTGTGTGTGCCTTGTATTCCTTACATTGTGTAAACGAATGTCCCCACAAGTATACATTTTGACCTTGTGGGAACATTTATTTTTTAGTCTCCGTGAAGGGAACAGCTCATAAATCACATCGAATGAAGTATTTTGAACATATAAAAATGCAGAATGTTTCTAATGAGGGTTGGATTTAGGGGGAGGGGGAGTAAATATACAGTCTGTACAGTATAAACATCATTACGTCTAAGTGAAGTCCCCAGAAGGATAGCTGTACAAGTGTATGTGTGTGTGTTCAACTATCCAGTTCAGCTTTGGACCCTCTAAATGAGCACCAAGGGAGTAAAACCAGGACATTTTATTTGTTCCTCACTTTCTGGCACCCCTTTAAATGGCTGTTTGAGGGTCAAGACTTGGTTTTAAGGGTTAATGTTGTGGTTATGGTTAGGTTCAGGGTAAGGGTTAAGCCCAGTAAATACTTTTGCTTCAAAATGAATGCATGTAAGCACAGCCGACACCATCATGGCTTGAGAGCATTGCTTTTTCTGCGTTCTCTCTGCAACAGGACTTCTATAACTGTAGTTGGAGTCCTTTCGTTAAAGCATCGTAAAAGGATGTATTATATTTTGGGGGCTCGTCCGGGATATTCCACTGTGTCGAGTTATTTGGCAATGTTTTGAGTTTAACTGCAATGTCGGCTAAACAAATGCACACGTTTTCTGTAAGAGTTGGGTTTCGAGATAGGGCTGGGGTATAGGGGGACAGAAAATATAGTTTGTACAGTGTAAAAACAACAGAAAGTTATCGAATGTCCCCATAATTCTCAAAAATAAATGTGTGTGAGTATGAGTGAGTGTGTGTATGTTTGAGACAGTGTGTGTATTTGTGCTCTCAGCAATAGGATTCCCAAAACTGTAGTTGGGGTCCTTTCGTTAAAACATAGTAAAGAGTATTATTATGTATGTAGTTTTTTTGGGGGCTCGTCCGGGATATTCCACTGTGTCGAGTTACTTTGCTTTTAGCTGCAATGTCGGCAAAAAAATTCACATAGTTTATGTGAGAATTGGGTTTAGAGATTGGTTTGGGGTATATGCAGATAGAAAATACAGTTTGTAGAGTATAAAAACTATAGAAACTTATGGAATGTCCCCATAATTCACAAAAAAAAAACGACTGTGTGTATGTGCGACTGTGTGACTGTGTGTGTTTGAGAGCACTGATTCTTCTGTGTTCTCTCTGCAATAGGATTTCCAAGATTGGAGTTAAAGTCCTTTCATTAAAACATCGTAAAAGGTATTAAGTATGGGGGCTCATCCAGGATATTCCACTGTGTTCAGTTACTTTGGAAATGTTTAGAGTTTAGCTGCAAGAAATGCACCCATTTCCTGTGAAGAGTTGGCTTTAATGATAGCTTAGGTTTCGTAGAGTTATATTTAAGCCTTTTTTATACCAAACAGGATAAAATTTAAGACTACTAGTAAAGTATAATAATTTGAGAGTACCGAATTTGAAATCTCCACAAACATGTATTTAATTGGGTTTCATTCTGGGTGACAAAGAGACAGAAAAAATTTAAGTAGTTTTCAAAACAGAAACAAAATTTTTTTATAGGGTCGGTTTTTGATTGCATTTTAAGACATTTGAAACACAGATTTAAGACATTTTAAGACTTAGTAAGGCCTTATTTTTATACTATAGAATTTAAGACATTTGTATAGATTTTTTAGGGATCCACGGACACCCTGAGATGAGGTTGGGAAAGAAAATAGAGTTTGTACAGTATAAACACAATAGAAAGTTATGGAATGTTCCCACAATTCACAAAAAAACTATTGTAGCGTGACTCACTTGGTCTCCATGGAAACCAGTGAAAGGTCAGTGTGCTATACTTGATGTCTTTGTGTTTGGACTGTACTGGATCAGAGCCAAACCTCCTGAGTTCAGGAACAGTGGATCTGTATTTTTATATGTGTGTGTGTTGATGCAGTGTGAAGCTCTGAGCTCCAGCTGGTTTGCCGATCAGCTTCAGGCCTGAGGGAGCTTCTTCTCCAGCTGTTTTTATGTCATAATAACGCCACACAACAGAAACATCTGGCTGATGCTGTTTAGGTTACGAGAGAATTTTGGAGTTCTTTTGTCCTTAACAAACCCTTTTCCCTGAACCTCTTTACTAGCTTGACAATTTAGTCATCACTTTTAATATTTGTTAAGTAAATCTTGTTTTATTTAATGAATGAAATGAAATGCATCTGTTCTTCCTCTGAGAAGATTAGATTGAGACTCTGGCTCAGATTCTCAAATTCTGCAAACTAAAAGAAGATCTGGATAGGAATTCAAGTATTTGTGAGCTCCTCTGGACCGACTCATGCTCATGAATGGGGTTTTTATTTCTACAGAGGAATTTAGGGAGGAACATCTGAGGAAATGTATTTGCTTCAAAGCAATGCAACTCTCTTTAAGCCTCCTTGAGGGATGAAAGAAAAACCTACCAACAATAAAATGTGCTTTTGGGAGGAAATGAGCAAAAAGGTGAATCTCGCAAAACTACAAAAGATCAAATTTCACAGAAGAAAAAAAAGTCAAAATTAAATAAATAAATAATAAAAAATAAAAATATAAATAAATAAATAAATAAATAAATAAATAAATAAAAAGTTGAGGTCCTTTCATAAAACCTTGTAAAAAGCATGTATTATTTGTGGGGGCTCGTCCGGGATAACCCACTGTGTCGAGTTACTTTGTCAATGTTTTAAGTTTAGCTGTTTAACATAAATATCTAAAACATTTCTTACATAAAATAAACATAAAGCTAGTATAATTAAATGCTAAAAATAGCAGTAAATAAAAAACTATCAATAAATAAATTACTTTCAATGCACTACAATTGCATTATAAAACAGCACTACAGTAATTTAAGTAAATAACAGCAAAAAGTACTTTCTCATTACTGTAATTTGGAAAATAATAACTAATTTTTAAGATGAAATGAAAAATTATTTACACATTATGGTACAGAAGCTTTGGTCTAATTGAATTGAATTGAATTTATGGAGTAAAATATTTTACCATTTTATTTAGATGCGGTTAAATGCAATATTTATTTATTTGCAAACAAACAAATATATAATATGTGTATTTATATTATATTATTTGCTTTCTTGTGTGTTTTTTGTTTATTTATATTTTATAGGTTTTAATTTATGTTTATTTATTTTTATTATATTTACAACTTACAATAAACAAACAATTCTTAATTGAATTGCTTAATTTATGATAAATTAATTATAATTTCACATGAGAGCTGCATTACTGTAATACAAAAAAGGTCACTTATCACTATAATGTGGAAAATTACAGCATTTAAAAATTTAAAATATTCACTGTAAAACATCAACAATAAAATCAATCAATAAAATATTTTTTATTATTAACAATAGACTAGAACTTACCAAAATTTTTATGCATTATGATACAACAGATTTCTGCATTTAATTTCTGCAGGATTTTTTCTTTTATTTTCATAATAATAATAATAATAATATTATTAATAATAATAATGATAATAACAAAAATAAAAAATAAAATAAATAATAATAATAATAATAACAACAATAATAATAATAATAATAATAATAATAATAATAATAATATCAACAATAATAATAATAATAATATTAGCAATGATAATAGCAATAATAATAATAATAATAATAATAATAATAATAATAATAATATCAACAATAATAATAATAATAATATTAGCAATGATAATAGCAATAATAATAATAATAATAATAATAATAATAATAATAATAATAATAACAACAACAACAATAATAATAATAATAATAATAATAATAATAATATCAACAATAATAATAATAATAATATTAGCAATGATAATAGCAATAATAATAATAATAATAATAATAATAATAATAATAATAATAATAATAATAATAATTCCTTGCTTTTATATAGTGCTTTTCTGGACACTCTGAGCAATTTACACATTTTTAGGGGGAATCTCCTTAATCCACCACCAGTGTGCAGCATCCACCTGGACAACATGATGGCAGCCATATTGCGCCAGTCCATACACCAGCTGATTGGTGGAGAGGAGTGATGAAACCAATTCAGATATAGGGATGATTAGGAGGCCAATGGGTAAATTTGGCCAGGATGCCGGGGTTGACCTCTACTCTTTTCTTTTTCTTGGGATTTTTAACAACCACTGAGAGTCAGGACCTTGGTTTAACATCTCATCTGAAAGATGGTGCTCACTGAGCATTATAGAGTCCCAATCAATATACTGGGGCATTAGGGTGAGGTCTTCCATCCAGGTACTGACCAGGCACAGCCCTGCTTAGCTTCAGTGGGTGACCATGTGAGAGTTGCAGAGAGCTAGCGGCATTTTACATCAAACAAACAAACAAACAAACAAACAAACAAACAAACAAACAAACAAACAAACAAACAAACAAACAAACAAACAAACAAACCAATCTAATCATTTTCAGTAATGAGAATTGCACAAAATAAGTTTTAATAATAGGGTAATGAAAGTTTGTGGAAGACGTGTGCTGAAAAAAAATCACAAATGGTCCTAAAGACTTCCGTTTTCTCTAACTATATTATAATTTCTCATGTTTCTGTACTGTAAAAACAGAGGTTGAAAAGGGAAAAGGCGGAGGAGAAAGAAAAAGAAGAAGAAGAATTCATTTCCTTACCAGGATGTCGACTAATGTGCAGCTGAGCTCCATCTGATGCCAATTCCATGAGAAAGCGATACTGACACTTATCAGTGCTGGGATACAGGCAGTATTTCCCCCGGACCAGCTCTGAACAACACCACGGTTCATTCACAAACACAACAGACCATTTATTACAGCCACATCTCAAAAGGCCAGCCGAAAACTGTGCATTTCTCATTGTGCATTGTGTTGCGTTGTTGTACCTGTGATGTCATCAACATAGTCCACCAATGGAGAGCAGCTTTGATTACAGAGCTGAAAACCATCAGATCCGAGTCCATTCGACAGATGACAGTTCACACAGTTCCTAAAATACAAAGAAAACAACTATTAAGAGCAGATTCTGCACATATCATGCAAAAATCAATGCTTGGACAGAAATGTGTGTATGTATAGTGTGTCCACGGCCATATTGGAGTGATATAAACATAACAAGTCTCTTTTTATTAAATGGGATCTAAATCATAGCTATTTTAAGGTGCTCCGCAATGTGAGGTAGGAGTGTGGTTTTCTCCGCCCACCGATATTGATTGACAGGTGCATATTAACATGTTTCCATAGTGACGAATATCATCATATCAACACGACAGGATTTGCAAAGAAACTGGGATTAAAAGAACTCTCTGTGAACTCTCTGCTGTTTTCCCCGCCCACTGAAGTAGAGTGACAGGCGTGTTACCATGTCAACAAGCAGGATTTGCAAAGTGAAATTAAAATAACTCTCTGTGGTTTTCCCCGCCCACCGATATTAATTGACAGGTGTGTATTAACATGTTTCCATAGTGACGAATATCATCATGTCAACACGACAGGATTTGCAAAGAAACTGGGATTAAAAGAACTCTCTGTTGTTTTCCCCGCCCACCGATGTTGATTGACAGGCGTGTGTTACCATGTCAACAAGATAGGATTTGCAAAGTGAAATTAAAATAACTCTCAGTGGTTTTCCCTGCCCACCGATAATGATTGACAGGTGCATATTAACATGTTTCCATAGTGACGAATATCATCATGTTAACACGACAGGATTTGCAAAGAAACCGGGATTAAAAGATCTCTCTGTGAACTTTCTGCTGTTTCCCCCGCCCACCGATGTTGATTGACAGGTGCGTATTAACATGTCAACAAGATAGGATTTGCAAAGTGAGATTAAAATAACTCTCTGTGGTTTTCCCTGCCCACCAATATTGATTGACAGGTGTGTATTAACATGTTTCCATAGTGACGAATATCATCATGTC